AAAAAAGTTAATATCTGTTATTCTGTTTTGTTATAGTTAATTTGTTATGTTACTTTACATGTAATGTTTTTGATAAAAGAAGTGAAGACAACATGTACTACTCAATACTCATCTTCCTTTATTGAATCAGTAATGTTTAGCAAAAATACTTTATTAGAAATTCTGATTTTTTCTGTACAAAAGACTTATAATGTTTACTAAAAGCTTGCCAAATTTCGACACACCTTCCTCACGTTTTCAAACTTGGAAGAAATTGTATAATTTTAGCGTTTTATAACTTCCTTTTTTTATCTGTTCAAGATAACACTTTTATAGACGTCAGTGGATAATTTTAACTGAGAGACTTCAGACTACCTTATATATATATATATATATATTTAAATGTTTAAAGTAAGCCTTATTTAATCAAATCATATTCAACTACACGTACCAGTGGTATAACGGTATGTCTGCGGACTCACTACGATAGAAACCGTGTTTCAATACCCGTGGTGGGCAGAGCACAGATAGCTCATTGTGTAGCTTTGTGCTTAATTACAAACAAAATAAACTTGAAAAAAGAAAAAAAAACTATCGCAATATTTTCAATTATCTTACAGGCGGCCCGGCATGGCCAGGTGGTTAGGGAGCTCGACTCGCCTTCTGTGGGTCGCGGGTTCGAATCCCCGTCACACGAAACATGCTAGCCCTTTCAGCCGTGGGGGCGTTATTATGTGACGGTCAATCCCACTATTTGTTGGTAAAAGAGTAGCCCAAGAGTTGGCGGTGGGTGGTGATGACTGGCTGCCTTCCCTCTAGTCTTACACTGCTAAATTAGGGACGGCTAGCGCAGATAGCCCTCGTGAAGCTTTGCGCGAAATTCAAAAACAAACAAACAAACAAATATCTTACAGGCAATTCTTTGAAAGACTTAGTTGAAAGGTGTATTCAGCTGATGAAAAGGCATTTTAAAATCGAAGCTTTTTGAGGCAAAGCCGTGTTTAACGAAGAATATTATTACAGAATGTGAGTGGATATTTATTGATTACCCGAAAAGCCGTCGAATGAAAGAAATTAAGCATTTATCTTAAACAAGGAAATCTATAAATACTTTTTTGAAATTAATAATAAAGTAGGAAAGTAAAATAATATGAGAAACAAAACTGCCAAAAACCAATTTGAATTTATATTCAATACAATGAAAACCTGTATTAAAGGAAACAGATAGATTTAGCACATGTTGATACACTCTCAATCAACTAACAACGATGAAACAAAAGTTCAGAACAAAATCTTTGTAACAGCAAGACCCCTAAGTTCTTGTTGCCGTTTTTATGTGATTGTGCGTCTGATAAAATTCACCTTTTTTAGGTTTAGTGAAAAATTGGGTTCTTAGTCGGTCTTTTCTCTTATGCGTTTGTTTTTTGCTAGTTTTTTTAACCATATAAATTAAAACTGTCTCATAGTAGCCATAGTTTCAATGTTTGTGATTACAGGGTGGTTTTAATAGTTTAAATTGTTTTACAAGACGTAGCCAACATTATCTTATGGTACCTGGATAGTTTCAATTGTTCAATGATTATCATACAAAAATTATTACCCCGAGAAAACAATTATTTATATAAAGGAGAGCTAGTTTCGTCAATGCAATATTTCTCTGTCCGCTAAATCGGGAGTATTATCGAGTTACGTTCAGTTACTTCTCAATTTCACTTTCCGGTCTCCGGTTTTTAAGCTGTCAAGATTATTATTGATGAAAGTCTCTTCTTGTGAGTTTATCACTTAATCTCGTCTCATGTGAAAATCCTTAATGCAGTTTAATCATTATGTTAGGATAACTGTTTTTCATTCTCCAATGAATTAATACTCGTCAGCACACTCAGTCTAACCTTGCGAGCTTTTTATATTATTGTGAGACTCCAGTCATTTCACGTGTTGTACATAGAGTCAGGGTAAAATTTTCCAATGCTTTATGCCTCTTTTTCACTGTGTAAGAACACACAGCTCTCTGACTTCCCTACAATTGGCTGTTTGGTAAGTGGGGGCGGAAAGAGGAGGAGAGACATGGTGCCACTTGGTTGAAGCCCAGCAATATCAACAACTTGCCGGATGAAGCCATGACGTTGCGGCCGCCGGGCTCCACATCTTATTGAACCGTTCGTCTGTATCATGAGTTCTCTCTTCTAACCATTTCAGCGGGCCAAAGGCCGAGCGCCAATCTGTGTCAATGTAAACTTCATCAATGAATTAGTGTTTGTCATCTCAGCGCGATCTTGCACCAGATTTTGTTTTTATCTGAATTACGGGTTTTACATACAAGACAGACAAGCGCCACAAAACATAATCGTGGCGGCAAACAGCACGAGAGCCCGTGGAAAGCTGTCAGCCAGAGTTAGATACGACCTCGAGACACTGACTGCAGAGTGCTTGTTTTAATTACTTGTTAAAAAGGAGCTACAAGCATGCACCCTTTATACGGAGAGAAACAGAAGTGTTTCGAATACGATGGATACTCGACTAGAGCAATGAATTCTGTAATGGATTCGAACATTGATATCCTCTATTCTTGTTTCAGTCAGCAAACTGATCACTGTTCAAATCCCGTGATTCGTCAATCTACTTACAGCCCGCCCCTGCCACCTCATTTCTCAGCTAAAGACATGGTCAAACCACCTTACTCCTACATTGCTCTTATTACCATGGCAATTCATAACTCTCCGGAAAAAAAGACAACATTGAATGGAATCTATCAGTTTATAATGGAACGGTTTCCTTTTTACCGCGAAAACAAGCAAGGCTGGCAAAACAGCATTAGGCATAACTTGAGTTTAAATGAGTGTTTCCTCAAGGTTCCTCGAGACAACAAGAAGCCAGGAAAAGGAAGTTATTGGACTCTGGATCCGGATAGTGTGGACATGTTTGACAACGGCAGCTATCTTCGAAGACGTCGAAGGTTCAAGAAAAAGAATGTCTCTCTAGAAAAGGAATATACTGAAGGACCTATGAAGGAGTCTGAAGGAAGAAAAGAGGATGATCAATCACATGAGACTAACATTCCATCCAGAATAAAGGAAACTGTGAACTTCAGCAATAAGAACTATGGCGGTGAAGAAGTTGTAATGTTTAAAACATCAAAGACGAGAGATCTACTCACTTCTCCATCTCTCTCTGCACAAGACAATGAAAAAATATTCAAGAAGTTTCCCAAATACGAAACCTTAGAAGAATGTGGGATTTCTTCTTGTATGCAGCAAATATTAAGAAACTGTAAGTTTGGAACAAAACACAGTTCTTCCTCACATAATTCAGTGTTATTTAGCAATACCATATCGGAAGAGTTTTTGGATTCTTCATGTGTTGGTAACGTTTCTGGGAGCACCTTGATGTCACCTAGAGAGTCGGTGAATTATTTCCCGTGGGTAATGAGTTCAGCAGTACATGATGAAAGCGTAGTGCCGCCTTATTGTCGTAAGGCCATATATTCATGTGACGAACTGGATGGGTATCCTGTCTATAGTGATTCTCCAATGGTTATGAACCATAGCAGGGCAGCAGCTCGAGGAGTGTACCATACCGAAAACGCCAGTCAGCTTCCAATTTTCAAGAAATCAGCAAGTAAGAGTGAACTGTGCAATCAAACAGTCAGTCGTTGTTTTGGTGACAGCAACGGTTTACTGACCGAAATGCCCACTCAAGAATCATTCGGGTCCTCGAAACGACAGTCGTCAACTTCTAGTCCATACTATACCTTTTCCCCAATACCTGAACCTAATGTCTCCGCTAGCCAACCGTTCTTAACAGAAGCCTTTTCAACCGTCAACGGTAACTTCTGCGTTCGAGACATGTTTGAATCACAGCAGCTTCCAGCCACCACCGCTTCAGTTAATCCGAACTGTCAAATGGTTTTTACCAACAGCACTGAAGCCTACCCAGTCAGATCTGAAACATCAACTCGTTATGAGTGTAGCATGGTTTAATTTCGTGCACTTCTGACTTGTTTTCCAACTTTTTATTAGGAAATAACAAAAACACACTTGAGGATTTTCCCCCTTTTTTGTTGAACGATTCCCTCATGTCTGTAAGTATACACAGCTTACAGTTTAATTAGCATATCCGCCATTTTGACCTAATTCTAATAAACAAAACGCTAAAAGTTGTACAAAATAGTGAATTTTTTGAAGTGTTTTTGGTTTTAAATAACGTCTTTAAAATGGAAAAAAATGTATCTATATACAAATTTTAAGAAACTCACCAAAACAACTAATAGTCGAAATTTTAAACGGTATAGTTTATTTTCATGATAAAGAAAAATCAATGTATATATACCATTAATGACGCTAGCCCTGATGCACCTAAGTAATAGCTATGTTTTGTATCGCAGCATGTTTAACTGAAGTAAATTTTTTTACTGAAAATTAGATATCTGATATAAATCAACACAATGTTAGATCATATCAATTGTTTTAACATTGCAGGAGTTTCTTACACGTTTAATCTTTTATAAAATTATATTTATTCTTTTAACCATTGAAATGTTTAATACAACTGAAACAAGAACCGTTGATTGATATGCATTTGTTGCTTGTGGGGTCTGTGTATCTATCAATACTTATCACACAATATATTGTATTTTGTTACATACCTACAGGCGATCTGTGCACTCAAAACATAACAATAAGTGAAATAGAATTTAAGATGAATTAAGAAATAAATAAGAAACTTATAAGAGAGGGTTACATTTAACGAACTTCTACTTGATGAGTCACTATTTCCAAGCAGCCACACAATTATCCCTTCTGAAGTTTTTTTGGTTACTTGCAATATTAACTTTCCAAAAGTTGAGTTTTTATGCGCGACCTATGATTTCTATACTATTTTCAATTATTAATTTGGTTTCGTGTTATATGTATGAATTGAGCATTCACTTTACACATCGTTTTTCTGTATCGTAAAGCCGTATATTCTTAACTTTTTGTCTGTGGTATAGATCTTATGTTATTAGGAACTATTTCTTTCATAGCAAATAGATTTCTGTTGTATTACGTTTAATTACATCTTACAGAAATTCACTATCTCTCTTTCATACAGATATATAGTTAACAGAAGGTTTTCTCATGTTTTCAAAACTTTTAAGTTAGTTATTGTAATTATGATTTTTACCTAGAAATATTAAGCCTAACACTTCTTATATCAAACATAAAACAGTTTTCTTCGCAATGTAAAATAAAAAATAGCTTTCAGGTTGGTGAGTTGTAGCACTTACAGGATTAAAAAATACACTATATTCTTCCCAAAAGAAACTTCTTATCCATACAGAAGGTTTAAAGATATGAACTAGTATAGACAGTTTAGTTTCTGTTGTTGTTGTTTTTTTATCAAATTACATACACTAAGAAAGAAGAAAAAGCCGACCGTTTTGTATCTTAGGATGACAGAAAAATAAACTTTAATTTTTTGAGAAAAATAATGCTTCTTTTTTGTGAGAAACGCGTGATATCAAGACCAGAATTTTTCTTTTAGTAAAACCACTTTTGTTTTTTAATTTGCAAAAGGATTTGACGTTTCAAGGGTAATAAGAAATATATACATTGTGTCAGTAAAGCTAGACGAGACATTTCAATTAGTTTTCAGAACTTTGGACTCTTATTTAAAACATTTTAAGAGATGAAAAATGAAATTAAAACCAGATTCCTTGATTCATTTTTTATGGGTTAACCACTAAGGTTTCATATTTCACTAAGTTAAAGGAATGAGACTTTTAAAAAATATTCTTAATAAAATAAAAAGTTTGTTGAGAAACCATATATATTTAAAGGAGCAATTCTGAAACAATTTAAAAAAACCTGGGATGGCCCTAATCCATTACTTTTTGTTATTAAACACAGAGCACAGTTATATCTGAAGCTGCAAATATAAGCATATTTTAAGAGGTTTCAACTTTATGTTTGCAGTTGAAAAAAATTATAATTCAATAAATATTAGATAATACTGAAAAACATTATGTAAAACTGTGTTATAAAACTATAAAAAATAACAAATGAAACGAACTTCTTGATCTAAAGAAAATAGCATATGGTTGTAGATAAATTTATCCACCGGCAAATCCTTTTATTATCGTGACCACATGTGTTTACAGATTTTTACATGTGCTTTCACACACGTATTTGTTCATCTATTCTAATCAAACAAGCAAATATATTACATAAATTCACACTGGTTTAATGTTTGAAGCTTTTCTTTGTTTGTTTATTTTCGAATATTCTCACAAAACTACTCAATGACTATCTGCTCTAGCCGTTCCTAATTTTTAACTGATATATTAAAAGAGAAGACAGATAGACAACAGCATCCAGCGCCATCTTTTGGGCTGCTATTGTCACGATGATTGAAGAAGACTTGATATGCTATGACAAATATTCTTTCATGGGTCGTTTATACTCGAAGGAAAACATTCATATTTACAAGCAAACACCTGTTTAAACTATAAAAATTATTGTAAAATACATATTTACAAACAAACACCTCTTTAAACCATAACAGTCTTGTAAAACACATAGTTACAAACAAAGATCTGTTTAAGCCATAACAGTCGTTGTAAAACACATAGTTACAAACAAAGATCTGTTTAAGCCATAACAATCGTTCTAAAATACATATTTACAAACAAACACCTCTTTAAACCATACCAATCGTTCTAAAATACATATTTACAAACAAACACCTTTTAAACCTTAACAATTGTTGTAAAATACATAGTCACAAACAAACGCCGGTTTAAACCATTTAGACGTTTTTGAATTATTCCTGAACATTTTCTACTCAAACAATATATCTTGCAGTTTTAATACCATAAAAAAAAGACGTGTAAACATTGTACTGAACCATATCAGTCAGTTTCAAAAAATACAAACCCTGGACTGAGAAAAATCGGCACTATTTACAATTTATCCAACAGTGTCTTCTCATTATCAAATATTCTTTAGGCTCTAGAAGATGAACTTCCAGCAAGAGATGTAATTTAAATTAGCATTTAACCTTCATTGATTACTTCTTTATAGCTTAGTACATAGCCAATAACTCCGAGACCGAAGAAACCTTGGACCACAAATAAACTTGCCAAATTCTCAGGGTTCCAGAAGTACTATGTATTATACCTTTTGCTAATGTTTATTATGTGTACAGAATACAGACTACTATGATATATCACAAGATTAATCAAACCAATGAGACTTGAGATGTAGTCCGAAGACATCATGCGCAGAATTTCTAATCTATCAAAATATAAGGTTGAGTAAATTATATCAAAAATATTTTGAATATGCAAATCAGCACAGCCGAAAAAAGTCGCGGTGGAATGGTGTATAACAAAATTACATTGTGACCTCGTTTCATGTTCATGTGACCTTGAGTGTTCATGAGTACTGTGGTGCCACCGAAAATCTGTCTTTTGGGAAAAGTTTGTAACAGTCTTTTCTGACGCAAAATAGTAATACATTCATATCACAAAGATGTGTTCAGATCGATGATTTAGACTTTCTAAGACTGGGATATCATTGTGATTCATAACACTGTAAAACGAAGGAATATCGTAAGAATCAAATTGGGGTACCAGGGCTATCCAGAAAGAGACTTGCAACAAGTCGTATCCCAGCTGTTCTAAGTAAAGTACGATGTCTTCTAACAGATGATAACCAGGGACACAAAGGTTAATAGCATAAGCTTTCCACGTGCCCCAGATAACAGAATGCAACATAATCAAAAAGGATATTCGTCTGGAAATGAGGTCAACACGTTATGGATTCACCAAGATAAGACTTCCAGTCATACCCCCAGTTTAACCGTCGCATACCTCAAGCAGTTGAAGAATGAAACGAATATTCATACTATTCCATATGAAGGCATACCAGTCAAGTCGCCGAACGCAGCGTCTATGGATATCTGCGCAATCGGACTGTTGAAACGCGAGCTTGAAAATCATCGTTCTCATACACTAGACGCATTACAGGTAACTAGCAGAGAAAGGGTATTCTTTGGACATCATAACTTTACGACGGAGCCTTTTGAAATGGAAAGGCTTTTGTGAAGACGAGTGTTGTCAGATGATTGACACTTTTATGAAATCGACAACAATTCAACCCCTGTATGTTAGTGAAATAGAAATCACGTAGGTTGCCCAAAATTGCCTCGACATAAATTTAAATATAAACAAAGATAAAATGCGATCTGAAGAATAAACACATATCCATAATAGAACCTGCCCACTTGTTTAACAGAAGACAATGCGAATTTGATATTAAAATGGATACCTTACGTTTGTTGCAATATGAACTTCATATTGAAATGGATACCTTACGTTTGTTCCAATATGAACTTGATATTGAAATGGATACCTTACGTTTGTTCCAATATGAACTTGATATTAAAATTGATACCTTACGTTTGTTGCAATACGAATTTGATATTGAAATGGATACCTTACGTTTGTTGCAATACGAATTTGATATTGAAATGGATACCTTACGTTTGTTCCAATATGAACTTGATATTAAAATTGATACCTTACGTTTGTTGCAATACGAATTTGATATTGAAATGGATACCTTATGTTTGTTGCAATACGAATTTGATATTAAAATGGATACCTTACGTTTGTTGCAATATGAACTTGATATTAAAATGGATACCTTACGTTTGATGCAATACGAATTTGATATTGAAATTGATATCTTACGTTTGTTTATTTTCACATAATAATGCGACTATTGTTTCACCATGTTAAGAACACTTGTAACTATTTTCTTTAGTTTTGTCTACATTTACGAACGTAGGTCCAAATGGGTTAAACTCAATAATTTCTACTCATAATATTTATTCAGGTATTAACTCAAATAGTGATCCTGTTGAAGAGCAATCGTGTTATTTGGACAACTTAGAAAATTCCCCATTAATATTTTCAATACAACCCTTAGAAATAACAACATATATCGTATACGTACATATAATAACTATATACATATATAGCCCCAAAAATATTACTCACAAATGTAAAAAGAAAAAAAAACTAACAGAACTAAAATAGTTTTCGTATCATAAAGTGCTCTTTTAAAGAATACAACTGGTGTTTATTCCAAAAATAACTGCCTTTTGATGATTAACACGTCTCTTAATTTCTTTTTCTTCTCTTTTTATGACCTAGTATAATTGTTGAGCTATCTTACTAGAATTATGTTGGGTAGTCACAAAACACAATTTCAATAAAGTGGTATATGGAGATAAATATAGCACCTGTTTACTGAGTCATTGTTTGTGTCAAGAAAAATGTTGTAAAAGCATGAAGTCACATTGTTCGCAACTGAGGATAAATATTAAGACAAAAGCATGAAGTCACATTGTTCGCAACTGAGGATAAATACGTTTTACAATCAATTATTTGCCTAAGAGTTCTCAAAGACGGAGAAAATTATTGACAAAATAACAGAGCCAATAACAAGCACATTGTTCAATTTTCACACAAGTAAATACCCTTTATACTCCTATAGAGAAAACTATCTACACATTATGTTGTATTACTTCAATATTAACTGTAATAAGTTTTATGTAACAATATGGAAGTAAGTAGGATCTCGGTTCTGAAAAAGTTAGGATTAATTGCAATGCATATTTTACTTTCTCAATACCTTTCTAGCTTTAGCAAATACAAAAGTAATATTTTGTTTTAGATTGTGTCACAGAGTTTTGACATCATACGATTATTCTATTTAAAAACAATGACTGTGAAAGATATAAGATAAACTTTGATTTTAAAATTGTCCGTGACTTTGTTTTTGTTTAGGATAGGTGGCAATCCAAGGCATTGAGCGATTCTCCTTACATAACCAGTGCTGATTAATATTTAAATGTTCTTGTAAAATTAAATAGCTTTCTATGATAAGTTGCTGTTATTAGATTAGTTTGTGTTACATACCAATTGTTAACACAGTAATAAGTATCTAATGAAAACAGTTTATACTTATAAAATTATACACACGTATGTAATTATATATCGTTTAAGATATTATATAATGTCGAGCTAAACGAGTTAACTTTGTTCAGACCAGGCATGGCCTAGTAGTTAGTATGTCTTGAATTTGAGGATTCAGGGTTCGCATCCCGTTGCCACAAAATCCCTTTAGGACCAGAAATGCACTGTAAAAGTCAGATCCCACTACAGAAGCCGAGAAGTTAGCGGTGGTTTCTGTTGATTAGCTGATCAGTTTATCAAATATCTCTTGTGCAGCTTTGCGCAAATATCCGAAGTAAACATACAAAACCTCGTTGTTCATTTACGTGATATAATAACTTTTGTTTGTTGTTTCCCCAAGAGCTATCTGACCATATCCATTCCCAGTTTTTAACTGATAGACTATAAAGTCCAGATAGGCTCATATCCAC